TATTTCACTCGCAGATATGAAGAGCACACCCCAAATTTACTATTTAGCAGTTTAGCACCAAAACAATTAGAATGTTTACAACTGCGCTGTAAACACACTATTAGATGCTTCTATTTGACTCTCAGGTATGAAGGGCACACCCCAAATATACTATATAGCACCAAAAAAAAAAAAACTTTTTAAAACTCCAATGTAAGCAGCAGCAGAATAGGAGCAAAACAATTAGAATGTTTACAACTGCGCTGTAAGCGCACTATTTGATGCTTCTATTTGAATCTCAGATATGAAGTGCACCGCAGGCCGCAAATGTACTATTTAGCAGATTAGCAGTAAAACAAATAGAATGTTTACCACTGCGCTGTAAGCACACTATTAGACGCTTCGATTTGACTCTCAGATATGAAGAGCAGGCCCCAAAATCTACTATTTAGCAGATTAGCACCCAGAAAATTAGAATTTTTACAACTGCGCTGTAAGCACACTATTAGACGCTTCTATTTGACTCTCAGATATGAAGTGCACCGCAGGCCGCAAATGTACTATTTAGCAGATTAGCAGCAAAATAATTAGAATGTTTACCACTGTGCTGTAAGCACACTATTAGCTGCTTCTATTTGACTCTCTGGTATGAAGTACACACCCCAAATATACTATATAGCACCAAAAAAAACAAAAAAACTTTTTAAAACTCCAATGTAAGCAGCAGCAAATTAGCAGAAAAACAATTAGAATGTTTACAACTGCGTTGTAAGCGCACTATTTGACGCTTCTATTTGACTCTCAGATATTAAGTGCACCGTAGGCCGCAAATATACTATTTAGCAGATTAGCAGCAAAACAATTATAATGTTTACCACTGCGCTGTAAGCACACTATTAGTAGCTTCTATTTGACTCTCAGATATGAAGAGCAGGCCCCAAAATTTACTACTTAGCAGATTAGCAGCAAAACAATTAGAATGTTTACAACTGCGCTGTAAGCGCACTATTTGACGCTTCTATTTGACTCTCAGATATGAAGTGCAGTCCGCAAATGTACTATTTAGCAGATTAGTACCCGGAAAATAAGAATTTTTACAACTGCACTTTAAGCGCACAATTTGACGCGTCTGTTTCACACTCAAATATGAAGAGCACGCCCCAAATTTACTATTTAGCAGTTTAGCACCAAAACAATTAGAATTTTTACAATTTGCGCTGTAAGCGCACAATTTGACGATTCTATTTAACTTGCAGATTTGAAGAGAACGCCCCAAATTTCCTATTTAGCAGTTTAGCACCAAAACAATTAGAATGTTTACAAATGCGCTGTAAACACACTATTTGATGCTTCCATTTGACTCTCAGATATGAAGTGCACCGCAGGCCGCAAATGTACTATTTAGCAGATTAGCAGTAAAACAAATAGAATGTTTACAACTGCGCTGTAAGTGCACTATTTGACGCTTCTATTTGACTCTCAGATATTAAGTGCACCGCAGGCCGCAAATGTACTATCTTGCAGATTAGCAGCAAAACAATTAGAATGTTTACCACTGCGCTGTAAGCACACTATTAGATGCTTCTATTTGACTCTCAGGTATGAAGTGCACACCCCAAATATACTATATAGCACCAAAAAAAAAAAAAATTAAAACTCCAATGTAAGCAGCATCAAATTAGCAGAAAAACAATTAGAATGTTTACAACTGCGCTGTAAGCGCACTATTTGACGCTTCTATTTGACTCTCAGATATTAAGTGCACCGCAGGCCGCAAATATACTATTTAGCAGATTAGCAGCAAAACAATTATGTTTACCACTGCGCTGTAAGCACACTATTAGTCGCTTCTATTTGACTCTCAGATATGAAGAGCAGTCCGCAAATGTACTATTTAGCAGATTAGCACCCAGAACATAAGAATTTTTACAACTGCACTATAAGCGCACAATTTGACACGTTTATTTCACACGCAAATATGAAGAGCATGCCCCAAATTTACTATTTAGCAGTTTAGCACCAAAACAATTGGAATTTTTACAACTGCGCTGTAAACGCACTATTCGATGCTTCTATTTGACTCTCAGGTATGAAGTGCACACCCCAAATATACTATATAGCACACAAAAAAAAAAAAAAAAAACTTTTTAAAACTCCAATGTAAGCAGCAGCAGATTAGGAGCAAAACAATTAGAATGTTTACAACTGCGTTGTAAGCGCACTATTTGATGCTTCTATTTGACTCTCAGATATGAAGTGAACCACAGGCCGCAAATGTACTATTTAGCAGTTTAGCAGTAAAACAAATAGAATGTTTACAACCAATGGCGGCTCTAGACTTGGCGAGGCCTTAGGCGAAACTCATACATGAGGCCCCCACTAACACCATTATTGGAAAAAAACTGCAGTTGACTTGTGTGTGTATAAGAAGCTGTAGATATATTGAAGGGCGGGCTTGCAGTACT